ACTGAATAGCTGGAGTGGGCTACAATGCATGCGACAAGTAAAGCAATAGAAACTTAAGTGTATAAAATGACACAAGCAGTAGCAATAATCTACTTCATATGGCAGGAGAGAAATTACAGAATTTTTCAACCCAAGGAAAGGAACACAAAGGTGCTCACTAGACAAATCATTCAGGAAATTCAACAACAGAGGTAGTATGACTCCTAGAATGGCAAGCGTTATGAATAACAAATATTGACGTCCAATTAAACTTTATACAACTAACCTCATCACACCATTCTTGTCCAGAATGTGTCAATTTGAAAAATCAGTGTCTTTCTGCTACATTATAAATACCTAATTCAAATGCTGGACTGATAACATTAAGAGCATTTGTATAAGGTTTCTTTCCCCTATCAAAACATAAAAAAATTAAAACATAAATACTCGGAAACGGGACAGCAACAAATAAAAAAGAGGTAACTAAGGAAACTAAAGAAGAGTGAATTAAGAAACTTGTATCTATTGTGAATTAGAGGTAACGAGAGAGTTCTATAGATTGAATTAAACTTGTATCTATTATGAATTATGTAAGTTATTCAATAGTAACAAATTAACCAACAAACTTCAAAATGAATTACCTCTTCTTTGTACCCATATAAAGCCACTTAATGAATGAATCGATCAAATCCGATTCATTATCTCCTCCAGTTGCATATGAAAAAGGATGTTTTGTCTCAAAAAACTGACGTGTTACACATAAAGTTCCTCCAGATTCGAAATGTTGTGTGTAGGGAGATGTTCCTGGATTTTTCTTTCTGCCACGTTTCTTCGGTGTCACTTTCTTTTTGTTTTGATCAACAGGGACTCTTTTCTTTATATAAGATTCTTCGGTCCTATTGATCTGAGAAAGATCTTCATCAAGAAAAATAAAATCATCAAGAGTATGCAAAGGTTTTTGACAATCCTCTGTTGCATCTGCATACAATAGACATATTGATTAATTTACAAGTTAACATATGCAACACTTATTTATGTTGGCTTTGTTGACTACATTACCATAAGGTTGCGCCCCAACTGTGTTCACATCAGCAACCTCTTGGACTGTAAGCAAAGTAAATATTTTAATAATGTTATTAAAATAAAATGAAAGAAGTTTATTTGAAGTGAAGAAAATTAATACCATTTATATCAGCAACAACCTCTGACAAAACTTTTTCAATAGCAATTCCTGCAACATCTTCCTCTGTACATAACAAAAACATTTAAAATAAGAGAGTTGAATTAACATATATGAAATATGTAATATATTTGTATAAAACCCTTCATTACCTATTTAACTTGATACTCTTTCAAAATTTTCAATGTCTGCAAATCTAACTGAAGTTTTAAGCACTTGAGATTCTTCATTTTGATTTGATCTCATAACATGAGCATCGTTCCCTCTTGATTCATTTACAAATGCATTAACATAGGGAGAGAATGCTGTATATGTAATTAACACATATTATAAGAAAAATATATTAAAAGTATATTATGATTATAACAGAAATGTATTGAAAATATAAAGAAACCTCCATTGAAATCTAATCCACCCGAAAACGTACTCGCCAGCCTGCTTCTTAGATGGTTCCCTGACTTCTCGGATAACAGAGCTGCTACCACCACTCTTAGCAAACAACAAAGAAATATCCTCCAATAATTGTTTGTTAGAATTCACCACAAATTCTTTGATTTGATTAAATCCCAAAATCAATCTTCTCTTCAAGTGCTTTGTTATTTTCATTCACCTAGTAGATATTAAACCATAACACAAAAATTAAAATATAAAAGTTCTGGAAAAAAAGAGCCTAAAGTCAAGTTTGTATATACCTTTACAAGTTCTTTCTCAATTCAATAACTTCATTAGTCAACATGTCTAGACCATGGCTTGATCCTTTAGGCTCCAATTTCAAAATTTCAGCATTGTAATCACGAGGTTCAGGAAGCCTGAATTTAGATACTTCATCTTCACTAGCCACTATGTTCTCAAACTGAAAAATCAAATAAACAAATAAAAATAGATATAGTAACTTGAGTTGAATTAAACAATGCCATAAAATGTATTAACTTAGTACAAATACCTTATTTTTTTGTAGGCATGAAGAGACATTTCTCAATATATTTTTGCCATGGACTTTTGGCAATTGTCTTCCAATTTAAGATTCTTGGAATTGAGTCAGCAACCCGAATAGCTATATCTTCATCAACTTTTGAACAACACTCAAATATCCAAATTTGAAGAGCAAGAGGCAAGCCACCCAATCTATAGTATTTATGGGTTGACTTAAGCTCATGTCTCACAGAATCAGACAACTTTTTGTAAACATCTAAACCCCACGGATATGAATTGAATTGTCCACTTTCCACAAGGTAAAAATCTCTATTACTAATTTGGTATTCGTTGTCCTCATATGAAAATAAAAAATCATTAATGAAGAAGAGAACAACCAATGAAACAGCAGAGTCATCATCTAGGAATTTTTTAGCTAGAAACAACGCACGTAGATGACTCTTTGCAACAGTGATTTTTTCCGGAAAATAACTACTCAACAAACTACATTTAGAATCAGAAACATTGATAGGAGTGCAATCACTAACACAATTTATACCGGTAACTATTCCAAATTCTCTAAGACCAAAAAACAACTTTTTGTTATTTATTTCAATAGCAAACACATCATCCGGTGTGTGTTTTAACTCTCTATTTATAAGGCAATGAATAACTTGTAGTTGTGTGCTCGCTTTTGGAAGGTCAAGAAAGTAACCAAAACATGTATTCCTGAACAACTCAAGTTGTTTATCAGATAAAGATAGTTTGATTTGGTCGATGACACTATGATTAGTGTAAGATGACCACCTACTCAAAATATACACAACATCCGGATGTTTCCAGAATTTACGATCCTGCATATGTATTAAACATGAATTAAAAATATATTACTACATACTAAAGTTGAATTAAAGATGAATTTCACATACTATGTATCAAAGCAAGGTAGTAATCAGTTGAATTAAAGATGAATTACACCGATGACCACTTCTGGTT